ATACACGCGTGTGCGTTGCATCTCGAAATTTGACTGATAGCTGGCGTGCGCCTGGTCACGAGAGTGGGTGACGCACCAAACACAGGTATTCTTCAAGTCTTTGCGAAGGGCGTTTGGGGAGGAGTGTGCGACAACTCCTTCACGAAGAGTGAGGCCACTGTTGTTTGTCGTCAGCTTGGGTAAGAAGAGAAACCGGGTTTTACTTGGATGTGCGTGTGGGGGAAGTGTTGGTGGAGAGGTTTAGCACCTGTAAAAGGCTAAACGAGAAACGATAGTATCAATTCATCTTCCTGGAAAGGATTCACGCAATGACCACAGTGGAAAGCACGACAATCGAATTTTCTCCGCAGTGTCTAGTGCGTCTGTTTACCTCTTCCTCCTAATACGGGCCCCGCTTTAGTGCTGAATGTTCTTGACCTTTGACTAACTCTACTTCAATCAAGGGCACGGTAAAAGTCACCCGAATCCTCCGCTTAGTTTATTTTTATTTTTTGGATATGAGTTTTTTTTTAAATGGCTGTTAACACAGTCTAATGTCATTAAAGCTGTAAATACAGTCTAGTGTAAATAATAGCAATTGTACTTCCAAAAATCGTCCGCTCAGTACAACTTAGAGAAAGTAATACTTGAGTACGTGTACTCAGCATCCCCATTAGTTGAGGTTGAGTAGGCTAATGAGATTTGTGTTGCCGACGCACTAAGGTTGATGATGTTCCAGTAAACTAAGCCTTTCTCGGAATATCAATATTATTTTTATTTTTGTCTCGGTACAAATGCCAAGAAAAATATGCAGTGAGACGCACATAGCGAATACCGCCTGCGAAGTTTGAAAAGGCCAGCTCGGGTAAGCACGGAACATGCTATCACTGGCCGGACACAGCCTGTGTAGTGGAAGCATACCCGGCCCTTCAAATACCTCGCGAAGAAGGAGGGCAGCGTGATTCTATGTCGCCCCTGGACGTGCAAACTGAAGTCTATTTCAACAGCATAATGAACAGAGGTTGAAAATGAAACAGTTGTTATGCAGACAAGGTACATCCAGAGAAGTCAGGACAGTACCAAAAACAGTACCAAAAAGCTCAAAGTAATAGTTTTAGGAACTTGATTTTTTTCCGGCCTCTTTTACGGGCAAATTAACACAATGGTTTAAAATGCAATAAATCATACACTGGAGAAGAGATCAGAAAATACATGTGTAAAATAAAGAATTTCAAACCCAAACCAAAAAAATCTTCAAATTTAATTTAGGAACTTGAATCTTGTTTTATATGGCAGACTTTAGTAGTAGTAGTAGTAGTAGTAGATTTTATTATTTTACTAGGGGAGTCCCAACAGGCGTTGCCTTTTTACTGGGAACCCTAGGTGAATTTTTACCATGTTTACATACAGAGTAAGAGACGGGGCCTGACGGCAGTCAGTGGGAAGAGCATTCCATCTGTCTGCCGCCAGGAAAGAAATAGAACGCATGCCATATTGCGTAGAAACAGGCGGAAGAACTAATGCGCGCTGTGCCTGGCCGCGCGTGCGAGCCTGGTGTCCAGGCACAGCAGCCCTAAGCTGGAACAAGGATTGGAGAAGGGGACTAGCAAGATGTGGGGTCAAGCAGCGGTACACGAAAACATAGAGTTTAAGATTTGTGCGCTGTTCAAAAGAATAGAGATGATATTTGCGGAGAACAATTTCAGTAGACATCATACGGTCAAACCCAAAAACTTTCTTCATTGCTATGTGACTGACCGTCACGATTTTATTGAACAGGGTGGCGCTGAGACAGTGCAGATAAGCGTTACTGGCATAGTCGAGAGTCGATTGCACAATGGATAAATAGAACGTCCTCTTCGCTTCAGGTGTTAGGTTTTTTCGGCCATGTCTGAAGGCGGCAATCTTGCCGAACACCGCACCGCAGACCTTCTCGACTTGCGGCTGGAAGGTGAGATGCTCGTCGATGAGTAGTCCGAGATACTTCACGGTGGCTGCAGGGGTGAGGGGCTTGCCTTTACAAACTAGGGGGATTGGTAGATGCGGCACAGGTTGGCGTGGGCGCCGAAGGACCAGGAACTGCGTCTTGTCAGGGTTCATGAGAAGTCCTTTGTCATCAAGGTAGAGCTCCAGAGCGCTAAGGTCATCCTGAAGCTTTCGCAGCATGACAGAGAGGTCCGTTCCAATGACGAAAAAGGCGATGTCATCGGCATAGAGCTGAGAAATACTGTTCCGAACAATCTGTGGAACCTTGCGGATGTAGACGCAAAAGAGGAGGGGGCCAAGGACGGACCCTTGCGGAACTCCCCTGGTGCAGGGCACAGTCCCACCACGCTCCCCATTGACCACGACTTGTTGACTTCTGGAGGACAGATAGTCCGCGAACCACTTCAGTACCGAGCCGCCTAGCCCTACGTCAGCCAGCTCGTTGACCAGTTGTTGATGCTGTACACGGTCGAAAGCCTTGCTCATATCTGCGAACAGTATCGCGCATCGCTGGCCATTGTCCAGTGCTCTTGTCCACCTGTCTATGGAAACAGCGAGGGCATCTTCGCAACTGTGCTTTGGACGGTACGCAAACTGCTCCAGCGGCAAGGCGGACAGCTCTGGGTGGTCACGGAAGAATTCAGTAATCTGCCGGTGGACAACCTTCTCCAATATCTTGGAGGCAACGGGCAGCAGAGATATTGGCCGGTAGTTGGTGGCTGCAAGTTTGTCCCCGGACTTGAAGAGTGGGCACACGTGTGCATGCTTGTAAGAGGCTGGAAAAACGCCAGAAAGTAGGGACTGATTGATTATGGATGTTAGTGAGGCCGTGATATTTGCTTTGCATGACTTTAAGATGCAGGGAGGAATGCCATCCGAACCCGCGGCCTTGTGGGAGTTTAGAGTAGTCAGTAGAGCCTCAACTGTTTCAGTGTTGACCAAGGTGAAGTCAGTCAGGGTGCTAGGTGCTGTCGGATCCCTGTCGGCTGGTATCTGCAACACTCCTGGCCTGGCTGGGTCGTGGACAACTGCCGCAAATGTTGCAGTGAGTGCTGGAAGTGGCGCTGCAGGGGTGGATTTCGTGGTGGCTCGACCAGAGAGCTTATTTAAGAGACACCACTGGCCTCTGGGGTCACGCTTCATGTTTCTGAACTGTTGCATTAGGAACTCCGACTTCAGGCGCCTGTTCAGAAGTGTCCCTTCCCTTCTCACTGCCCGGTACCGTTGCATTAGTTGTTGATCAGAGGGACGTGACCGAACCTTTCTGTGCAAATGCTTACGCTGCTGTAAAAGATATCGCAGGTGAGGAGTCAGCCAGGGTTGAGGTTTGGGTTTGCTGAAGGATGGTACGCAGATGCGACGGACGGGGCAAAGTTTGTCGTAAGTTGATGTGAGGACGGCTGTTAGGCTGTTCGCCAAGATATTTACATCTGTTGCAAGGGGGAATGACGTCAGTTGTTCGTCCACGGTTCGGCATAGAGCGTCCCGGTCTATTTCTGTGGCGCTCGGCTTCCTGATATTGGTGTAGAGTGGACAGGTAGACATGGTTGGATATGTTAGGTGGGTTATAACTAGGTCGTGGTCGCTGATACCGTCCACAGGGTGCACTGCTGTCTGTGTAAGCTGGACTCCAGTGGAAACAAGTACCAAATCGATGCAGGTCTGCCCATGACGAGTGGGAGCAGTGACAACATTCCTGAGATCAAACTCGCAGCACATATTCCGGAGATGTTTGTAGTGTCCACTGCGAGGCTGCAGAACATCCGTGTTCAGGTCACCGAGGACAATAATGTTCGAAAACTGACGTAGAATGTTGTCGAGTTGAAGGCTGAAGAGTTCCCAGAACTCGACCTTTGCGTTGGGTGGACGGTACACGCTGCACACAACCAGCTCGTTGGATTTGGGTTTGGAAGACGGTATGCGAACACGTACAAATATGCACTCCACTCCCGGTATACATTGCGTTGGGGCAGGAGAGGAAACAAGAGACGCGTGCACATACATGCATACTCCTCCGCCATGTAGATCTCTGTCTTGTCGATACAATGTGTAGCCAGGAACGTGTAAAAGAGAATCGGGAATGCTGCTGTCCACGTGTGTCTCGTTAATGGATAGAATGTGAATTTTATGATCGTGCAAGAGTTTGTGAATATCCTGAACCTTATTTCTGAGACTACAAATATTTATAAGAGCTAAAGTGACATTACGACAAGTATTAGTGTGAGCAATGATCCGGTGGCTTACCGACGAGGTGGTAGGATTTGAGGGACTCCCAGGACGATCCTATTGCGTGCCCGGATGTTCCAGTGCACCCCTGTCAGCAGAGCCTCGTTCCTGCAGGAGGTGTGTGATCTGCTGGGGGGTGTACGGTTTGTACGTTTCGTCGAGAATCTCGTCGTACGGCATTGAGCACTTCACGCCTCTACGTCGAAGCTCTTTGTAGCTCGTCACGTTGTTCTTCCTGGCTGTCTGTTGCTGTCGTGTCAGGTCATTGGCCATATATATGGGAGTTCCATCTTGTAGTTTGAGGTTGAATCGTGTACGGTATACGGCAGACTTGCTGGCTTGGCTTTTGAATTTGATCCGTACAGGACGGGGACCTCGAGACCGCTCAGTTCCAATCCGTTCTGCGTGCGCGACTTCATAGGAGTCTATCTTCAGGATCCGGATGCAGTCGTCAAATAGGCTGTCGTCCGCTTCCGGGATGCCGCGAACAATGGCGTTGTTGCAGCGCTGTTGACGGTCAACTTCTTCCTGCACCAAAGCAGCAAAGTTGACGACGTTGACGGTCAACTTCTTCCTGCACCAAAGCAGCAAAGTTGACGACGTTGCACGTGCCAACAACCCCTTCCGGAGACTTTCCTTGTACGAATGGTGAAACGAGCAGCGCAATGCTGGAATGTCAAGGACATAGAGTGCATGTTGATTTGGGAAAGACATACTAGTGGGAAAAGGGGTTACTGGCTTCAAGATTGATATTTTTTGTGCTGTTCACCAATATTGGCTCGCCCAGGTACACGTATGATGATTCGGGATATTTCAATGACAGCCAGAGCAGCGGAACTGCGCCTGTCCTACTGGATGATGTGATATGCGATGGTACCGAATCTAGCATCTTCTCCTGCACGCATAACAGCATCGGTGTCCACGACTGTAATAGCAATGAAGCTATCTGGTTGAAATGTAGTAAGTATTCGTTTTAACAGGAGATCAAAGGCTACAACTTTGAAGTGGGCCAACCTTCGTTATACGACGTATCTGTGGGACAGTAGTCACAGCATTGCGTACCTCCACGTGCCCTCCACCCCGCGCTAATACATGGCTGCGTCATTTTGTGTACATCTGTTTTGTACATATTTTGTCCCTTCAAGGTACAAAAAATATCCGGCAGTAATTAATGCGCAGGCTGTGGTCAATTTAAAAAGATGTTAGCATTTTTTCTGATCACTTATCCTGTCCTCCATCGCATGAGGCCTATAACAAAAATCGACAATATCTTGGTGTACCCAATTCATGTTTGCTAGATAAATCTGACGCATAGGGGTATACATATTATTATGTAACGAGTATGCGATTTTTGAAATTTCGGTTTGTACACAGGACCTGAATCTGCGCTTAGATCTTTGACGTTAGTTGCGCACCAGCGGAAGCTGAAGCAAAAAACGAACCAATTCTCTGCCTGGGTTGTGGCCATTGACTCTGGGCTGCTCTGGCCGGATCTGACAAGATCGAAACAGCTCGTTATTCGGACATTGATTTTCCTCTTTTTTTTGCTATGTTCACATTCCCATCTCGAAAATAATAGTATTGCGGTCCCTTCATTGGCTGAGTATTTTGTCTGGTCATCGTCATTTTTGTTTTGGTTGAAGAAGTGTTTTTTTTTACTTCAAATTACTTCGCAAAGTCAAGCTGGATCATAGGACAGTAATATAGCAGCGACAGGTGGGTTATGGTTGTGCTAGGATGAAGGAAGAAATGATGAAAGCGCAGAAGCAGAGCAGAAGAATAAAAGTAGTCATCTACCCTCGTGCCAGGCGCGCTGTTTTAGAGCACTATGACTGATGCATTGAACGGCTTTCAAAGATATTCCTCCGTTCATGAGACTTCATTTCGCACTAGACATTGACTCTTAAGTGATCCCTTCAAATGTGGTTTAAGTACAACAAATCGCTAGCTCACTTGCGTTTGCCAGATCCTTTTCTTAACTAATTCTTGTTTGTTTTGTGCCCTGCTCAACTGCAGCTGGAAACCAAGCGCCACTATCAAGCTGTCCAGGTATGTAGAATATTTCAATTTGCGACATATTGGTACAGCCCGGGTCTATAGGAAATCTGCAATGAAGAATGGTATTTTATGCACTAGTTCATTCACTCGTTGTGTTTGGAGTGCTATAAACATGGATGTGGTGAGTATTAGAATGCTTGCTGTGAGTTGAACGGACATGGGCATAAAACGCACCAGTCCTCTTTTAAGCATGATATTTACCCCCCCCCCCCCCCCCCCCGCTTTGCATCATGCCGCACAAATGCTGCTACCCGCGGTCAAGCTTCAGCCGCTCTGACCCTACCCAGAGCTACGTCTCGTTACGGCCTGAATGCTATTTCATTTTTGGCGGCAGACAGATGGAACATGCTTCCACCTGGATGTGTTCAAGCTATGCCCCTTTCTGCATTTGTCACAAGCACCAAGCCATTCCTAGGGTTCCCTGTAAAAAGGCAACGCCTGTTGGGAGTTCCCTAGTAAAATGATAAATTCTACTACTACTACTACTACTACTACTACTACTACTACTACTACTACTACTACTACTACTACTACAGTACTACTACTACTACTACTACTACTACTACTACAGTACTACAGTACTACTACTACTCAGAGTTGCATCGAATTAGACTTGGCTCACTGTAGCACTGTGTAACTCGTATGCACTTTTAGAAAATGTGGTGGGTCTGATATACTCAACGCCCATTGCTTTATGGGCTGCAAATGTGCCTTGATCCTTAAGGGTGGTGGCGTACCTACGGATGCGGAAAACTCGACCTCCAGTCGAGTCTCACGCGAACAATGATTTACGGGGGAAATTGCATTGATTTACGGGGAAATTGCATTGATTTACGGGGGAAATTGCATTGATTTACGGGGGAAATTGCATTGATTTACGGGGGAAATTGCATTGATTTCCGGGGGAAATTACATTGATTTACGGGGGAGATTGCATTGATTTACGGGGGAAATTGCAACTCAGTGGATTAACTGTGGGTGTGAAGAGCTCTCATACAAAAAGAAGAGCACCAAAATGACGATTTTTTCGTGCCCAGATGTTCCAATTCCAATGGGTATGTCTCCATAAGCGAAACGTGGAGAACATTTCAAGAACACTGCTGGAATGTGTGGTACTATCAATATTATAATAATATTATTGCTCTGCATGCATGAACTCAGCTGCACTGCGATCGCCTTTGTCGACGTGCGCAGCTTTACAGATTCCAACCTGCGTGGCCGTATCTAAGTGCTCCTTCGGGCATTATCACTTTTAAAAGAGAGCATGTCTGAAAATACCAAAGTATGTGTGCAAGTGGATCTCTCCGATTTCGCTCAAAATTTGCAGGTAGGTTCCCTTTGGGGTGTGGATCGATTGTGCAAAGCCCTTGAAAAGGTTTCTGAAGGGAACCTACAAATTTGCATACCCCTCAAAAATGGCCGAAATATCACGCTATAAATTTTATGGGTCTAGAAACGAGTCACGCCACAGCGTATCCGAACAAGCTATGAACAAAACTCCATCAAGCCAACATTGTCTCACCTTAGAAGAGTTCCTGGAGCAGTACCGCTTAGCCACGCCAGGATCCCAGAAGACGAGGTCCATCACCCCCTGACGCCACAAATGATCGTCTGGAAAATAGCCAATTTACAAGCGCTGGCAAAACAGCCAGCTACGTCCTCAATTGGCCAGAACTATACACCGACAGATAGTAGAACACCTCTTCTAGCGCTGAGGACAAGTCCCCCATCTTCCTTTTGGGGTTTTCTTGAAATAAACTTGTTGGAATTGTTCCACTCGACCATGCTGAAATACGGCCTAAGTCATACCTGCGCAGGAAAGCTCGCCCCTCCGCGACGTCTCCTCTGCAATTTCTACTCCAACACTACTCCCAAGGCCGCAGAACAAAGTGTAGTGTTGACTCTGACAAGGAAAAGCAGCGGTGATCACTTGTCACTCCAAACGACAAGCTTCTCCTTGCGCCACCAATAATTTTTGTGCGACTGTTGATGCAAAAGTGACTGAAGTCCTGAGCGCAGTTTTTGAATTTTATTGCAAGAGGCGCGGTGAAATCACGTGCCTTGTGACGCAAGAATGCCAAGTCGCGTGGATCATGGCTCACGAGATTTCAGAGTCACCTTCGTAAAGTGCGCTTATTACTCGCCTTGAACGCACGTTGGCCTTGAAGTGATCACACTTACTTGTGTTGTTACTGCGCTCAAGAACACGCTGACCGTGTTGTAGGCCTACGAACCGGGACTTTCCCTGACCATGTAGGTCGATCTCTTCCTCTCCTGTCCTCCATGCGCTCTCACAGCCGACTCACTGCTACCCTCAGTAGCCATTACACACACCAACCAAGGAAGGGTTGCAGGTTCGCCTTCATAAGGCTCATCAGAGAAGGTGATATTGAATAGGATGATATCAGGTGGAGATGGTGAGATTTATACTACAAAACATGGGCCCAAGATTACGGGCAAAGTGTGAGAATGAGAAGTTACAATTCTCCAGCAACACAGTGCCAGGGGTTCCAAGAAAATGGCAGGTGAGTAATCCAATCACAAGCTGCTAACCTCTCCAGCAACACAGTGCCAGGGGTGCCAAGAAAATGGCAGGTGAGAAATCCAATCACAAGCTGCTAACATTAATTTTCTAACGGCAAGGTGGTAGTTTAAGAATTTTGGCGAGCCACCAAACAAAGTGAAAGAAAGTAGAGTACTACAGTCCATTCATAAAAAGATGGGTCCTGGCTCTGGCGAGCTCCCGTATTTGGCGATTTTTCGTGATTTCAACGTACTCAGTGCAGTGCTGCGAACTTTGAAATTTGAAAAAGGGTCCAAAAAAGGTGACTGAACTGGGGTTCGAACCGCAGAATGCACTGTTGCAGGCGGGGTCAAACGGCCTGGATTTTGATGGGTTTTCCCAATTCAGTGCTTTTGGGGCAAAACCTTGCCGAAATCCTATTCTTCCTATGGCTTGCTTTTTGGACAAAAAAACTTCAGAAACATAATTGGAAGAGGATTCCATTATTATGGGATTGCAGAAAAAAATTCAAAAAAAACTCAACGTTTGACCCATTTATGGCCAAAAGCTAGAAGAATTTTTTTCTGAATGGACTGTAAGCGTGCAGTGGCTCGCCAAAATTCGCTTAAAAGCGGACAGTCGCGGATTGAATAGGAGCGTTCCTTGAGAAAAGGCTTAGTTCTTAGTTATCCTTACCACGCTCAACCACAGTGCACGGCTTTGGAATCCTATTGTGTTGGTGCTAGATCTGGATGAGTGTTTGACGCACAATCACAACTGCTCCGCGCAATCGACCTGTACGAACACTGATCCTGGATTCGTGTGCACTTGCGAGGCCGGCAACGGCTCTGTGTGTGCCGATCCAGATGAATGCCAGTTGGGTCTAGTCCAATGCAACCAAAGCGCTCAATGTGTAAACTACGACTTTGGTGCGTATTGCCTTTGTTCCAACCAGCCAGGTGAGATTGCAGTGGATAGGTGATGTGGTGTGCGTATTGGTGCTTTTGTTGATAGACTCTGCATGCAACCGAACTATATACAAGGGTATGCCTGTGAGCGGTGAAATCATAGGCAACACACCGGACCATTATTATGTGTGTCACTTGACAACTACTTACAGCCTTGCCAACTGTATGTATGCATGCCCCAAAGCACCAAAGTTAAAGGTGATGTTTCTTGTGGGCTTTTTCGGATTGTGTTACTTGTATGCATACAAAGGAACGGTTACAGAATTTCTTTGTTTTCAATTTTGACGTTCCAAGCAAGGAAATGTAGTCTTGTCTGCATTTTAACTTATTTGCAAGCAGGGTCAATTCCGCCGTCTTGTTAGGCGCCGGTCACACATGCAGGCGGCGACACCGCTTTTGCGGCTGCCTCCAACACCCTGGCAGTGGGCGCTTTTGCGGCTCTTTTCTGCCGGCGGTCACACATGCAAAGGCTTTGGTACGCACGCAGCTTCACGGGTCTCCACAGGTGTCGTAAAACTTTTCTCTGAAAAAGACTGTAGCCTCAAAATTCCTTTCCTGCGCTGGTATGGATCGCAGAAACGCCCAGAATCGCCGACTACGTCGTGACCAGCGACTGCGGAGAGCTATGGAGATTGCCTCAATATTCATGTTGTTCAATTTCTCTTCGTTTGAATCTTGCGGAAGCTCCTTGAGCATCGGTGGACGCCTGAGTCGAGTCCCATGTCGGATGGTTGACCTCGAAATAGAGGGAGAGGAGCAGTTGCTCTTGGTCAGCAGTCCACTTCATGACGAGAGATGACAAACTAATTTTTCCAAGATCCAAGAGATCCAACAACGACAACGCCGCAAAAGTTGCACTACCGCTTTTGTGTTTCGCCACCAATTTTTTGGTTGTGGCGCTTTTGAGATTGCCGCCGTGGCGCCAGTGGCGCCAGGCGCAGTATCCATGGTGATCCGGGGATATCCCAACTTTTGTGGTGCAGCTTTGGTGGTGTCGCAAAAGCGCCATGCATGTGTGACCGGCGCCTTAGGTAGTGGCGAGCGCTACAGCCTTGCGAATGCCAACATCTGATGTAACAGCAATTTGTGAATAGCAAAACGAGATTATGTTCTGACATAGTTCCAATTCCACTGCTTAATCCTCCTGCTAGACTGGCAAATGACTCCTGACTCAGGCCAAGGCCGTGGAGAATCCATGAAATTGATACAAATAATTGAAAATTCAATACAAAACTGAGCTCTCCAACCAGTTTCTCTATATTATAGACCGTACTACTGTATTACCTCGCCATCTAATTCGGCTCGATCTGTGTGTGTGTGTGTGTGTGTGTGTGTGTGTGTTTATGTGTGCGTGTGTGTGTGCGTGTGTCTGTGTGTATGTGTGTGTGCGCGCGAGCGCGTGTGTGTGTGTGGGGGGGGGGTGCGTGTGTGTGTGTGTTTGTGCACGCGTGTGTGTGTGCGTGCATGCTGCGTGCGTGCGTGTGTATGTGTGTGTGTGTGTTTGTGTGTTTGTGTGTGGTAGAGTAGAAGGTTTCCAGAGCGCTTGTCATTTTTAGATCTTTTAACGGCTGGCCTGCTTTCTGCTCTAATTCAGCCGATATACGACTAGTCCCGGTCCCTGTCTCACCAGGGAATTCTGGACGAGTAGAGGTGTTCACAAGAGGAGCGTGGGGAACAGTGAGCTACGCCGGATGGACGGCTGCAGAAGGGGATGTTGCTTGCCGGTCACTTGGGTATGTCGAGTTTTAAATATACTAGCCGAGGAGATGTGCAGAATAGGATTGTGGAACAAGCACAAGGGAGTACCAAACACTGCAAGTTCCAACTTAGTTCTGAAATATGTCCATGTGGAATGCAACCCATCGGGTTATAACGAGTAAAACACAACTAAACACCAATTAGAAGAGGAACGAACCTGCAGTGCCGAGGTGCGAGCAGACTGTGCATCTGGGACAACATCAAAGATGATAACTATGAGAAGGTGACAACGTCGCCGTTGGTGTGTAAACTATTGGGCCTTGTTTTCAAGATTCTCTGTCGGAAGATAATTCTGCTTTCAAGGTTCACATTCACAAAATATAACGTTGTCGCTTTCTTGAAAGGAAACCGTCGCCCTGACCTAGTTTTTCCATTAATAATCCCGCATTTGCCCTATGCCGGTTATCATGGTACCTGGATAATTTGTTTTACTGGAGTCCGCACGCCTGCATGCTGGTCCTAGGTCTGTCGTCCGCTTCTCACCTCCAATAGGTACACTGGGGCCCTGCAGGTCCTGGGACTATTTCCACCATCGGGCGGCGCAAATCAACTGACGGGCCCGGTATGCTATGGCGACGAGACCAGTCTCTCCCAGTGCGGAGAGTTCACCGCTAGTGCTACGAGTGATCATGCACAAGATGCCGGATTGGAATGTCGTGAGTAATGAGTGTAACTACTCTAATGTACCTGAATGTCGCGTGTAAAAGCAGGTGCGTACGGCCGTATAAGCCGGGGTTCAAACCATGCTTCTATTCAAGTTCCGCTTCTCACTTCTAAAAGCCGGTGCGTACGGCCGTATAAGCCGGGTTCAAACCATGCTTCTATTCAAGTTCCGCTTCTCACGTGTAAAAGTAGGTGCGTACGGCCGTGTAAGCCGGGGTTCAAACCATGCTTCTATTCAAGTTCTGCTTCTCGCGTACAAAGGCAGGTGCTTACGGCCGTATAAGCCAGGGTTTGAACCATGCTTCTATGCAAGTTATGCTTCTATTCGAAACATGCTTCTACGTCAACATCTTCAGTGTACACTGTGCAGTGCACCTTGTCAAGTATGTTGTGTGCAAGTATATGATACATGCATGCTTCTATTCAAATCGTGATTCTGTGTCATGACGCGCTTCGAAAAAATCGGCTTCTATTCGAGTCATGCTTCTATATAGGTCATGCTTTCATACGCGACACTACATTATTTTCAACTTGATGTTTTCTTGTTGCACCACTTGTTCCATAGCGAACATGTGACTGTATCAAACAAATTAATTCACTACATCATGTCACCACCAAGCGCTCTCAGCCGAAGCCCAGCAAGGACACTTATTATTATTTATTATTACTTATTTATTAAATTTTTAATAGGTCATTCCCACAGGCCTAAGGCCTTCTTACGGGGTACCCTATATGTTTTTGTATAGATGAGCGGAAGTCTGATAGCGTGGAGCAAATACGAACAGAAGCAGGGAGCGAATTCCAGCGATCTGCACCTAAGAAGCTTAATGCGTACAAGCCATAGCGGTTATTAGCCGGGGGAAGAGCAAGAGACAGAGTAACCTGCGAGCGGGTGATTGACGCTGTGTGTGTGGCATTGACTCTAGTCACAAAACAGTCTGTTAAGAGCGGGCTGCACACCTTATGTAATGATCTGTAAATAAGTACGAACAATTTGAATCTCAAACGTAAGGAGATAGAAGCTAGGTGGTATCTGGCTAGAATAGTAGAAATGTCACAGAACCTTGGATAACCAAAAACAGTTCTAACTGCACGGTTGCTGAGGCAAGTCAAGCGATCTTGTTGCCCAGCCTGCAGACTGTGATAAAAAGCATTGGAACCGTACTCCAGTTGAGCCTGTATGAACGCGCAGTAGAAGGTTCTCTTTGCATCAATTGTTAGACGGTCACGGATTCTACGAAACACAGCTAGCTTGTCGCCTACCTTTCGCTCAAGGGCACTGATGTGGTCAGCGAATGTCAGGTGCTGGTCAAAGGTCATACCAAGGTACTTGACGGTGGTCGCTGGAGGAATTGAGACATTGTCAATGGTTAGTCGGAGGGAGGAGCATACTTTTTTCGATCTGGAGTGGAACACAATGAACTGGGTCTTGCTGGCATTCAGGATTAGTCCTCGTTCACTGAGGAAGTCCCTGATACGATACACATCTCGGGCCAGTTCTTCGGTAGTTTGTTGTAGGTTGCGGCCTGCTAGGTACAGGGCGACATCGTCAGCGCACTGGCGCACCATGCTGGAAGATGCTGCCGAGGGCAATTTGCGTACAGATAGGTTAAAGAGCACAGGTCCGAGGGTGGATCCCTGAGGAACTCCCCTGTGAGCTTCGTACAGTTCACCTCTGGACGTACTTCCGTTGACAGATAATTACTACGCCTCTAGACAGCTGATTCGCTGTTTCCTTGGTTACCATCAGTAGAGTGTGATAATGATGATGATGATGGAGTGTCAAGGAATGATAATTCTTCTCCAGCAGAAATGGCGCAAGCACGCCCCTTCCACGTAGAACATTGGCATCTGTAAGCTGCTAACTGTAGGCTGTCTTGGGACGTACATGTAATAAATGTCTAGCAACGGAAGTATCGTTGCCGTGCTTTGTGCATTGGTTTGGCTCAGAGCACGTGGTGGTGAAGGGATTCAGCAAAATATTGACAATGGCAGAAAGATCTGAGATGTGTTGAAGCTAGGTGTCAGGACGTTGAATGTATCAGTACTCTGTCAGTTTTGTGCCTAGTTGTTGCACTTTCTGACTATATATAGTATCAAGAGTCCTGAAACATAGTATCTAGTTACAGTGGTGCAGATTCACTCTTAACTCGTTTCCATATGTCTTTTTCCTTTCGGCAGAAAGATCCGTCGCAATAATGGAATTGTATTCAAAGAAATCGTAGGGGTCGTAACTTGCCAAGGAAGCTAAACAATCCGCCTTGATTGTTCACTTCCCTTATTTGTTCACTTGGAACCAATATTATGTAATAATTTGTTGCAGGGTGTGTGGAACATGCTCGTGCGATATTGCAATATTCAGTAAAACCTGGTGTAAGTTACCTCTGGGTTTAGCGACCACCTGCTCCTAACGACCGTTTTTCCATGCGCCTACAGTTCTACACAGACACTGTGGGACTTGGTTCTAAAGACCACCTGGCTTCAACGACCGATTTTGCTTGCACCGTGGGGTGGTCGCTTAAACCAGGTTTTACTGTACTTCAGTAAATATATATTTGGGGTGAAAGCACAGTACAATTTTTTTAAATGTATGTGTCAATTATGTGAACTCAATTTCAATGATCATGGTTGATCACTATATCATCGTGCTCCTCTTGTTGTCTTCCTGATCAGACGGATTTATCGGCAACGGCTACACATGCCCAGGTACGTCTACCAGCTTTGTACTTTGTGAACAACACGAATGGGCCAACATGAATGTGGCGACATATGCACTGGTAATACAAGCAAAGCTGTTGACATCATCACACATCATCCACGGCAATAAGTTGGTGGGTAAATCAAATGCAGAGAAACACACAACATATTGTGTATAACAAAGCATAGGAGTGTTTCTTTCTGTTCTCAGTGGCGATCGTGATGTCCTCAGCATTTTGCCAGTACCGTCATGCCGTTATGTTTGCCTGTTGTTGCCAACTGAATGGGTACCTGTGCAGTGTGCGGTGTGTGCACGCAGTACGTTGCATGATGTCTCCAGTGACAGATGTGTATGATCAATGTATGTGATGGGTCCAGTCACAGTCAGTGAATTACAGTCAAACCTTTGACTAACGACCGCACCTTGGGGCCAGAGAAAGCGGTCTTTAGTGGCAGGGGGTCCTTAGTTAGGGTTTTGCAACGCACAATCATAATAATTACATATACAATGCCGGCAACTGAAATCCGATCCTCTCAGCGGTGAGTTCACTTTCTAGAGGCCTCTGTTTGGTAGTTTTACCATCCCGTGTTGGGTCTTTGCGATGTGAGCGCAGCGCTCGGGGGTCGGATTTCAGTTGCCAGCACTGTATGAATGCGCCTTGCGAGGTGGCCAGTACTTGCATGATGGTCGCTAGTCACGGTGGTCTTTAGTTACAGGTTTTACTGTATTCTATTTGCATCTATGCAGAAGAAGTTGTGGCTATTGACGAGTGTGAGACATTGCAGCACGACTGCTCAACGAATGCGAACTGCACGGACGAACACACTGGATACACATGTACATGTAACGCTGGTTTCACGGGTACTGGAGAGGAATGCCATGACCTGAATGAATGCTTGCTGGGACTGGCAGGATGCGCACCGGATTCAGTCTGTGTCAACTCGATCGGTGGATCCACCTGCTCATGTGCACCTGGATATCAAGGTACAGCATAATTATCAAAGTGTTTAACGGATTGTACTGCATAATATTCTGTCCATTCCCACTGCACAGCCGGCTCATTACAACGACACCTGTTAGCAAGCGTAGACAAAAGCAATGCCTCTCACATAGTATACTTGTTTCGGTCCAGGATATCGGATTCCACAATGACACTACCCTTTCGCCGTAATGACTATAAGAACGCACATACCAGATTAATCCATCAAGTCCATCCACCGATCTACATAGCTCCCTTGGTTGACACACTCCTCTTGATAATCAATGGCCGCCAATTGCTGGACAAAATGCGTTGCGATGTCGCTAGTGCGGGCCATGGTGACAGCCGGTTCACTATTAGGGCGCATCAGTGTAGGTTGAAGGTAGTTTGTGACCCGGGTGAATTGATTGTGATATAATGAACATGATATTGTGTGTTGTCTACGTGGGTGGGGTGGTAGAGTAGGTGTGGGGGGGGGGGGGGGGTGCAGTGCTGGCCTTCAGGTTTCCAAGCTTATTAGACTGCTCACAGTTTGTCTGGAATAGTGGTTGCAGTGATCCTCATGTTCTAGGTTACTCTTTGTTTGCTACTATGCTGCAAGAATGTCCCGCAAGGAA